CTGTGGGCAGAGCTTCGAGTAGTTGTTATGCTGTCACAGGTGAAGCTTGTCAAAAGATGCACGGCGGGCTACAGAATCTGTAAACTCTAGCTACCAACAAACCAACTGCAAATAATGCCCGCAGGCACTTACCTCTTTTCTGTTCCTGCCTTCGGCCTTTGTCAACTTTCAAGAATCAGCTGCGACGTCTCATGCTGCGTTTCTCTACTTCTGATGAGTACAAGCCCAACCAATGCAGGGCCTACAATTGTCGAAATCCTTGAATGCCGCAATATTACTTTGCCATCCTAGCCTAAATATGTTCAGTGCTCCGATCCAGACATAAAGTCGTTGGTGCAAAACACTAGTGACTTCCCACCGTCTATGCTGCAACCCCGATAACAATCTCAGTTTCGAGTTTAGGCCCAAATTTGCTACGGAAGTGTCATGTACAAACCTCTGTAAATTTCTATCGGCTTGGATCTTTCAGCCCATACTTTCTCAAGAACATCAATGTTCATAAAGTCAGCTTGGAGACCTGACTAAAGATGTAAGACACGAGAATTATCTACAATGTCTGACGATCCAGGCCCTCCGTATTCCTGAAGCCTTCATCAGAACCTCATCATGAACCCTAGCTTGTTTCCTATGCAATTCCTGCACTGCCCTATCATTCGCATGCTTGCCACTGCCAGAGTTTCAACTGGCATCACTTGGAACCGGGATCGGACATCCGCCAACGAGAAGCAAACTGTGAATTTGTTGCAACCACACATCTTAGCCGCAATGGTTGCTCACTACAATTTGCGGCTTCAATTCGAATGCTTTCCGGACACCTCGTAAGTCATTGGAGCATACACAGTGAGGCACTAACACCGTCTTCAGAAAGCCAGCGTCGCTTCCACGGCTCTTCTCTTCTTTTCATCTTTGCCAGGCGGCCGAGGCAATGGCTGCTTTGGGCCCAGCAAATTTCCGTTCTCGTCCGAAGCCGCCTGCATCCAACTGAGGCTGAATGCGATGAGGTAGAGATCTAAGGCGGGAGACTTTGCCAAGTCACCACTGGTTGCGTCTGCACCCATACTCAGAATTATTATGTCACGATGCTCAATCCTTTTGTCCAGTCAGTGCCGTCACTGCAGCCAGCGTCCCTGAATCACGTGTGCAACCGAGACAAATGCCTCTAGCACAACAGATGCCTGGTGCAAGTAGTCGATTTTAGAAGCTTTTCTCCAAAGATTTGGGGACATGGCATGGCAAGTCTGAATCCGCAGGTCGTCTGGGGGTTCAGGGACTATGAACGCAACAGAGATCAGTGAGGAATCCCTCCAGTCTATTTGAAATCATTGGGAGGTGCACCCAGAACCGTCGCCACAGTCAGCTAGATGCACACAAGCATGCAGGCAAGCGGCGCCATGACTGCTGTGAGGAACATGGTGAGCGAATATAGGTTGACTGCAGCAACAAAGACTGTCACAATAACGCATTCCTGACTTTTTTGGTTTGCAGTATACCGACTGCGCAGTAGCGTCCAGCCGTTTAGTAGCGCAGCGGCATAGACCCTGTAGCTCGGCGACTTGGCATGGCCTCCCTTGGCATTCGGATCATATTACAGGGTCAACATGCAGAGTGCTTTAGGCGCACACATGCGCAGTCTACACACCCGCACCGTTACCATCATGAGCAGTCTTAGATGTCGGCCTTTGGTTTGTGCCGTCCTCTCTTGCGTGTGACCGTCAGTAGGGATATTAGAGTTTGTTGCTGCTGCTCAGCGGGTCTGCTACGTCCCATCTTGGGAGATTGGCTCGGGCACGGCTTCTTACGGTGGCGCTTCCAGCGAAGAGACGCAAAAGACTGAAGCCAATACTCGAGGTCTAAGAAGTGCGCGAGCCATGCTCCAATGGAAGAGGATTATGCATGATGACCCGACGCATGCTTCGTGTAGCGTTTTTGCTAGTGTCGATGTTGTTTTCCAGCACAGATGACTCACGATGCAGCATAGGTGCAGCTTCCATGAGAGCCCAGCCACAATGGAAACACAGCGGAAACGAGAGAGTGAAAAGCAAATAGGCGGCCAAGTTACAGGACGGCTCACGAAGGCTCCCGCTCACGCTGACAGAAAGTGAAAAGGGACTAAGCGGTGGACCCAAGGTTCCGCGCATCATCGTCATGTTGCCTCAGAATCAGAAAAGCTATTCAGGGCTAATCGCGGCTCATCGCGGCTATTCGCTGACGGTGCAGAACATTGCTATCGATTTCAGTACAGTACCACTCGCCACACTCAACACCGTCATGGCTCCAACACCACCACTTGCTGTCGGTCCGGGAGGGTCTTTGTTTTTCGCAGTTGGTGAGTTTTGCGTTGTTGCCTGTGGATTGCCGTGGGTGTGGTGAGGGGTGCGTGCGTGCGTGCGTGCGTG